GGTAAACATTCTTTTTTGTTATAAAAAAAGTGTCACCTGGGAGCTTATTCCTGCTGTTCATGCTGCAGCAAAAGAGCCAGAATCAAGCTACTACGCCCCGGTCTCTTTTTTCCCCCGCTCTGATCTCTCCACCCCATCCCGCCCGCCAGCAAGGTCAAACGTGTGAACCAGAATTCGCGGCGCGAGGGGGGTGTAGGTTAGGACTCCACGAGGGTCGTGTGTGACCTGCGAGAAGGGGAAGGGGTCGGGAAACTGAGTACTGGCAACGTTCGTGTGGCGACGAGTTGATCGCAAGGGAAACCATGACATGTTACTACAGTGTGAGTAAAAATACACAACAGCTCTCTCCTGAATAACACGACCAAAAACGCATCAGCTGGCTCAGAGAGTCCATACTACTACCAATGTTACTGAACCTGTTATTATAACTGAGCTGAAGGATGCAAATCGAGAGCGTGGCGCTTTCAGTAGAGAAGGGGATGAGCACTCGGCTCTGGGCTCGAATTCCTATTACTCGCAAGAGGAAGAGGGTAGCTGAAAGTTTCTGGTGATTTCTATATGGAAATGTGGAACCATATGGCAGAGGGACCCTCCTGTTAGAGCTGAAGCAAGCTACAATATCTGCTACGGGCGAGTTTTTATTATAAAGGACCTAGAACATAAATATTGGGCGCAGTTCGGCGACGGTGGGGGGGGGGTCGGAGAAGGATTTGCACTTAACTGTTTTACTACTTCCGGTTTACAAGTCTCACTCTGGTGAAACTTGTGAACTCTTGTGAAGCTGGAGCAAGCTCGTCTAGCCACCATGGTAAAACGTGTCAACTCAAGAAAAGGCTATCTAGATGGGTCGGCACATCGGTGGGATGTGCCAACCCATCTAGAATGCCTCCCGTCGCTGAACTGCCCCTAAATATTGTGTTCCTTGGAAAACAGAGATGCTGTCGTCCCGTTCCATGTAGATCTTCACTCCTCGTTATCCTGAACGAATTCGTGTCTATTAGAAGGTAAAAATTTCGCACTCGCGAAAAACTTGGTCCGTTATTTTTAGGCCGAAACCGCCGTTCGAACTACACGGCTAGACTACTAAAATATGATTCGGAAAGACCTTCCCAGCGGTCACGTAGTTCACCCATCGTTATGCAGAAGGTCGTTTGCGTCTGAAGTTGTGAGCTTCAAAAACGATCAAAGTTCAGGGGAAATCCAGTGGAGCATGGAGCGCTCTATTCCCCCAGCAGGCAACACAATCGCAGAAACAGTACAAATACATCGATAGCCCTCTGAGGTGGTCCTGTGAGCACTTCCTTCTGCAGATTTCGTACCGATGCGGCACTTTTCCGCGAACGGTGCTTGATCCTCCCAACTCACAAACTCCGATCTCAAGTGATGTCGGAAATCGCGTCTTGTTGCACAGTAATGTATTGAAAAATAATGAAAATTTCATGAATATGATATAACAACAGAAAAAAGTAAGTAGTTTAATTTCCATGTTAAAATATAGAAGCAATAATAAATAATGAAAAATTATCAGAAATAATGAATGGTCTAGATGCACTGCAACTGAACAGTGTTAAAAAACGGATCGCATCCGAGAGCTAGGTGGTGTAATATATTTGTGAAGTACCATTTTCAAGGTTCCTGGATCGGCCGAGAAGAGCGAGCTGTCGGCCATTCTTGAGCGAATACCGGTTCATTGCCAACAACTCCAAGTTCTCGTCAAGAGTCCAACCGTCGGCAAATCGGCGACGTTTGGAAAGGTTTGATGTTTGGAGGTTGTCAAGGCAGAGTTCGGACTTTGCGATGACGCGCGTCAACGCGCTATACAACGCGTTACAGCGCGTCGTCACCGCAAAGTCTGAACACTGCCTGATAATTTGTTCAACGTGTTAAAGTAACTGCCAAGTTCAGGTAGACTCGGTGATCCAAGAAACTAAAAACCTGATGAATGAGATTGCGAAGCTCGTCACGTCATCGTTTGTTTGCGCCACAAAGGTAACCTTCGAACTTACTCATTTTTTCGGTCTTTGTAAACCCTCTAGAGTACCTTAACCGCGAGCCATTTCAGTTCAACAAAGTGAAAAAGTGAGTTGAGAGACACATACTTTCTACTAGTAATGCTTCAGGTGTTTTTGGCAAACATTTTCGAGTTGTCAAGTGTACGCTTTATTCTCTCATCCTGCTTCCCAAAAGTATTGCATATGTCAGTACGTGGTTTGTGAAAATTTGTGCCGTCACGAGATTCTCACCCATTGGTCCCCTAGAGTGAAGGGTGTTCTCCTAGGCGAGCTCAGATTAATTGGTTTTGAGAGGCCTTGCAATCGATGGAATGCTTTGGAAAAAGTAGAACTGGCTACGCTGGCTACACTTAACTCTGGAACATACATGCTCGTATGAAGGCAGATTATTTCCTCACGTTCTTCACCTCCTCACTTCATATGTTCCGAGTTCTACAACAATGTTCCTTATTGTGTTGAAATGATGGCCACATAATTTAGGAAACTTCGTGGGAAGGGAGCTGATTTCGTTTTGAAGTTCTTCTGACGATGTGTTATATACTTTGCTCTGGAAGTTACCCAAGAGTAAAGAATATCACAGGCAGAGGGAAGAGGGGGGAACAATTTCAAAGCAAGTCGTACGCTAACCTGCAAGTTGGATCCGTGCTATATGGGAGGTGAGCATGTTCACAGCAGTAGAGGAATCCCACTTTTTCCATGAGGATCAGGAGGCGCAGTTTGGCATCGGGGGGGGGGGGCATTTTGCTTTCACTGCTTCACTACCTTCTAGTTTACAAGTCTCACTCTGGTGAAACCTGTGAACTCTTGTGAAGCTGAAACAAGCTCGTCTAGCCACCATGGTAAAACGTGTCAACTTAACAAAAGGCTATCTAGATGATTGACACATCGCTGGCAAGCAAAATGCTTCCCCTCCCTCCCCCCCCCCCCGTCGCCAAACTGTGCCGGATTAGGATTATCGGAGCCAGGTGTACAGCGTATCTTTGAACCAGCAGTCTGGACCTTTTCGCGGTCACTTGATGTGTAGACGGCTCCCGGTCTGCGAGCATAGAGCATGTCTTACTTATGTTGCTACAAGCGACAGCTTTGTGGCAAAGACGCTGGGTACTCGCGGTAACGTCAGTGTTCCGCCCGCCATCTAACGCTACGTTCCACTGTCACTTCTGAAGGCTTCTTGGTGAAGCGGCTGTTCCTCTACTAGCGCTTTCCATGACGAGTGAAATGAGGAAAGGAAACGGCTCAAATTATACGGTGCTCACAAGGGGAAGTCGCTTTCTGCGCTGCATGGTCGTAAAAGCTCGAGTCGGCTAAGGGTACTATCTACGGCATTTGTAATGGCCTTCTGCTTTTTCACCGAGTCGTTTGCCACCTTGTCATTCATATTTTTCAACTCTACTACCCAGGACTTATGACTGCGGAACGAGTCTTTGAATAATTTCCATCGTCTGATTGCCCTCCTACATTCTGAGGGATACACTGAAAGTACAGTGCTCTTCAGCCTCAAATACACTTTTGGAAAACATCGGGTAGATTCGATTATTTCTGTTTCAGGTACTGCACGCACTTCACGCTCATTAAAATACCATATTTTCCGCTCGCAAGATTTTTTTCAAGATTCCTGTTGACCCACAGCTCACTACCCTTCCACTTCCTCGGAAAACGTTCTCTCACTCTTCCCCCTTCACCTTCGTGATTAAAGAGTAAAAATCACACGACGTGTTGTAGTTGTGACTCGTTACTCATCAACTCACGGAAGTTTCTAAACTCCAGGGCAAAAATTTTTATTAAAATTATATCCGATGCCTAAATTACGTGCCTTCAGTACGAAATCGAGTTCCGCGGCGGTTCGGTGCCCAGGGGCGACGGCGGTGATGCCCGTGCGTCAAGAGAGTCCACGCTCTGGAGACGGACGCCAAGCATTCGACGGACAGCTCCACCACCCGGCATTTACCAGCACCAACACTAGGTCAGTTGGAAGAAACAGAGGAGTTCCCTTCAAGGGCAGTAAACGTGATCGATGTGGGCGGGCGGTCGTTGCTAAGGTCATTGGTGAAAAGGGGAAGTGTTGTGGCCACCAAACACTCTCTCGGCCCTTTCGCCAGTGACGTCGCAAAACCCCCACCCCCTAATGTAAGCGACTGCCTTCTCTGCCTTTAGATGATTTCACACCTTTTTCTGTTTCTTTTACTCTCTCACTGCTACGGCTACACTCGGTCCGTGAGATGTGGTAGGCGTGGCTGCGTACTTGAAGTAAACGTAGCATTGGCCCTGGCTTTTCTGAGACATTTTCATTTTGACTCAAACTGAAATATCTCATGAAATATCCCATTCTATCCCATGCTGAATGCCACGCCTACTCAGTCTAAGAGGTAAAGAGTGTATTTGGAGACTTTTCCTTGGGAAGTTACGAATTTTATGATAGTGGTACTTTTCAGGAAGTTTATCGAAGGTTTGTGATGGCCAAAGAAGGTGAGCGAAGCATGTGTTAATATCGTACGGTTTTCACTATTAACGGAATGCCTTGCTATTTTGATTTTGGCTTTATTAACCTT